TTATAATCAATCACGAATATGTTTATTCAGTAACTATTATTATGATTATTATTATTATTATTATTATTATTATTATTATTATTATTATTATTATTATTATGATTATTATTTTTATTATTATTATTTTTATTATTATTATTATTATTATTATTACTATTGCTATTGCTATTACTATTATTATTATCATTATCACCCAGATGTTTTATAAGGCATTTGGAACTCTGTGAAATAGAATGTAGTTAACTAAACAATTATTACTATTTACTTTTGGTGTAGTTTTGTAAGAATTATAGTTATGAAATGCATACAAAAAAAACTAACTAATTAACTAATGGAGAAACACAAATGTATTTAATGCTGCGCGTGTTCCTCTTCTTTATATATATACATACATACATGCATATAATACGATTTATAAAAAGAAGTTTTTTGATGTAGCGATTTATGTGAATGAGACTTATTAAATAATTTATTAAACTTTCTACATACATTGTTTGTACAGAAAATCAAAGGCTTACGCTTACAAGAAATTACAAAGTTTGATGATCTCGCGTCGCGTGATACGCGTCTCTTTCCTTATCAGGAAACTTAGTCGGTAAATTTGGACTGTGCAAGTGGCATTTTGCGTGAAACTTTATTCCTGCAACATCCACTTCGTAATCTCCTGACAATATGTATTCGTTTGTTACTTCTTGTGGCTGACCTTTTGAATCAAAGTTTTGTACAAATCCAAGACAAACCTATAGTACAAATTATGTTTTAGATAGAAATGAAATGATAAAGTTTAAATAATATTCATTATTCGTACCGATTATACTAATATCAAATTTCATTACGTCTACAGTCATTCGATAACTGATTGAATTGGATAAAAAAATTTTTAAGCTAATAATTGGGAGGATAAATTGTTACCTGTTTTCTAAATGTAAAACCATAACCTGTAGTAGTTGTCATACCACAATATTTTCCATTTCGATATATCGGCTCACCGCCCCAACACCATGTATCAAATTCAAGATCATGATCGTTTAACAATAATTGAACGTATTTACGTTTAACTCCTTCTTCGCGTTGTTTCAAAAGCGCATCTCTTCCTATGAAATTCACTCCTTTCTATTGAACATAACATAAAGAATTATTAAATTAGAATATATGTAAATGCAGAGAATGTTCCAAGTATGTCGTACTGCTATTACTTACATCAAATTTTACTCTCCATGCACGACCACATTCGAGAGGAGTAGTAAAAGTATCTAAATCCTGACCCCAAAACGCGTAAAATTTTTCAACTCTTAACGCTCGTGTCGCATAATAACCGGCATGTTTTATTCCATATTTTTCACCGGCTTCTATTAATCTCGTATAAACGTGTAGAGCAAACTAAAAATAAATATACAGCAATTTATATAATTAATTCTAAGTTTAGTATAATAAGTTCAATTGCTGTATTCGAATGGACAAGAATTTTTCATTTACTTCGTTTGGTATATACAAAACGTAGCCCAACTCTCCAGTGTGTGTTAAATTCATTGTACGAATTCCATTAGCAAGGCCGACGTCTAACTCCTATAAAAAAATAGAAAGTTCTTAGTAAGAAGAATGATAAAGAAATAATAGATTTATTAAAGATATTATACTTTGAAAGTAAAAAATGGGAAATTCTTAGGATTCAGATCAGTGTCAGTCAATTCACTCAACAATTGTCTTGTAGCAGGTCCCATGATACAAATAGCAGTGTACGCCGATGTCACATCAGATACAGCAACAGAGCCGTCTGAAGGCAAATGCCTACTAATCCAGTATTTACATCGTGTTTGTTGAATAGTCGGTGCAATCATCATATAACTGAAATACAATAATAATAAGCAGTATTGCATTAATTTTGAGCTATATAAATTGTATAAAATATACTTACTGATTTGGTGCAATACGTGCTAAGCTGCAATCATTTTCATAACCACCACGATAATTTTGCATTCCAGTATGGATGATACTGCCCACAGCTACATCAACGTCGTTTGAACATAAATATTGCAATAAATCTACTACCTCCATGCCATTAGACTAAGAACATTTAAAAAAATAAATACGAGTAAGTTAAATATTGTGTATTACAATATGTATAACAATATGTTATCTTAGAGAATAATTGTCTTTGATATAAGTAATCTTAAGATAATAAGTACCCATAAATCGATCTTAGTAAAAGATGAATAGTCGCTGAGACCGATTGATTCCCGACAAGTTGCATACTCCAAACTAACACGTTCGAACCATGGTGGTTTACTAAATGTATTCGTATATGCCAGTTTACATTTCTGGAATATATCACTCGAATCTAAATCTATAATCAAATATTATAATTAATATAATATTTTATTTTAATTAATATGCAATTATATTTAAATATAATAATGTTACCATTTTCACTGAGAGGTTGAAACCAGGATGGTCGTTCGTATCCCATCACTTGACCGAAAACAGCGCCAGCTTCTTTGAGTTTAGGATAAATTGGTGACATTCTTAAATTTCTCCCAGTTTTAAATTCGTGATGAGGATATTGCAATGCATAATGCATTCCAGGTACTTCTTTTACTCGATCACGTAAAAATTTACGATTATTGTGTAAACCAAGAAAACGAGAAACGTCTAATTCATACATGTCTAACGAAGTTGATCCATTCACTATTAATTCAGCAGTAGCACGACCAACTCCACCAGCAGCCGATATACCAACCTAATGCAAAATTATATTTACAATCATTTCAAAATGAATTATAAATGTTTAAGTATTTACTTACAGTCTTCATGCCAGCAGCTACATAATAATTACGTATTTCTGGAGCTTCTCCAACAATCCATTTACAATCCGGAGAAAACGCTTCAGGACCATTGCACAATTTTTCCAATATTACATTTCCTAAGCTCGGGATTCTGTGAAGCATTTGTTCTAATAAAATATGAAAATGATCCCAATCTTCAGGTAGAAATCTCTCATTAGTACCCTCTAAAAGCAATTCAGAATGATATCTATTAAAAACATACTTGTTTACAAACAATAAATGATAATTCACAAGACAGATTTACATCTATATCTAACCAGGTATTGACCCATCTTCGAATGCTGGTTTTGCAACCGGTTCGAATCCACCTGCTAATATACGACCATTATTTTCTCTGAAGTAGATGTAGCCATCTAAGTCACGTATTACTGGTGTCATAGGATCTAAACCATTAACTGGTTTTGTATGCAAATAATAATGCTCCACTGGATGAAGTGGAACCTAATAATAATTAGATTTAAAAATATACTCACAATCTTTATTAAATAATATAGTAAAAAGAAATGTAATACAACCTTTACGTATGGCTCACTAAGTTTTCCTACATTGCGTGCCCAAAATCCAGCACAATTAACAAAATGTGAACATTTTATTGTTCCATGTGTGGTTTCAACTGCTTCAATACGATTATCTTGATTAATGATCTTAGTAACTTTGCAATTTTCATAAACTCTAAGACCTAATAAACAATGGCATATGTAATAAACAGATCTTATAATATGTTCATTATAATTAAGAAAAACAAATGATTACCTTTACTTTTAGCTTCTTTAATCAATGATAAACATATTTGATATGGATCACCTACTCCGTCACCAGGAATCCATAATCCACCAATGAGATCTTCTACATGTAATAATGGACACAATTGCTTGATTTCCTCTGGTGAAACCAAATAACATTCGATATCTCGTGATCTATAAAATAAGTTAGAACATCATACATCAAAATAAATGTTGTATTATATCTGTTTTAAATTCTTACACAGATTGAGCCTTCATTCGTCTAAATGCAGTCATGCGGTCTCTAGTACGTGCCAAAGAAAGACTACCACATTGTTTCCAGCCGGTAGAAAGACCTTTCCCTTCTAAATGTTTGTATAACGCTATGCTATCTTGAGCCAATTTCACCTGTGCTAAACTTGGTTTGAAAGCACCGACTAGACCAGATGCATGCCATGTCGTACCACCTCCTAATCTTTAAGATATAAAGAGAATTAAAATAATTCAATGAAAGTACAATCATTTAGCTAAAAAGCAAGGTTCCGCCATAAAATAATATTTATAATATTTAATTTCTAGAGTAATGCAATACCTGCCACTTTCTACAAGAACAGTTTCAGATCCCAATCCCATAAGCGATAAATGATAAGCGACTGCACCTCCCATAACACCACCACCACAAATAACCACTTGTGCTTCTTTCGGAGGACAATCATCTGAATTTGTAATTGTTGAGTAAGTAGATTTAGAAGTACATCTTACTTGTTTTTGGTTAAATAAGATAACCTTTCTTTGTTTTGTCATTAGTTTGTCATAAACATTTCTCGAGCGTTGCCACATCTTTTATTGATAGGAAAAATATTAATGTCGGTTTATTTTCTAGTTTTTTCGATCTTTATTTTATTTATAAATAAATGCGTAAAAACTAAATCAAATTATGTTATTTTATAAATAAATAGAAAAATATTATAACTTATGTGGCACTCTGTTCTCCATTTTTGATTACAATAGAAATTCATTAAACAGTGCATTCAATTAATTATTATTCTGAAATAAAAAATTATATTTGTAAATATAGTTAATCAAAAATATATTTTTATAATAGGCACATGATCAAAACTTACAATGATTCAAATACTCCATAGTTCAAAGGTTTCGCTTAAGAATTAAAAAATGAAAGATTTAGTTTAAAAAATTACTGATAATAAAAAATTATTCTTCTTTATCATATAGTTATGAATTGTATACATTACAGTATTCTTTTACGTACATATGTAAAGTCATTAATATTTAAATATCTTATAAGAATCATTTAAATATACCACCCTTTAATCGAACAGATATTTGCGACATCTACAATGGCGGATTCTGAGTAAACACAGTAGTTAACGTTATTGTTATATGCACCATGATTATTATTACTAATAACGTGGAGAATATAAATTATTTTGCTTGTGACATAAAGGTTTAAACTTTTTTAATATGAGAATTAATGAATCTTAATTATTATTCATTATTATCATAAATTAATGAAAGATTGAAAGTAGTGATATTAGACAAAAATTAATTCAATTATTAGAATTTCACATTGAAATCTAAAGAAATGATAATTAGAATATCGAATGATTAATTTATTATTTTAATAAATTAATATTCAGATTTTGAAGGTTGGAAAGATTCGTAAAAGGTTTTAACAAGCTATGTGCAAAGTGGTTATTATTTGAAATTTAATAAATATGAAGTGTGCATTAATGGTTGCAGAGAAGCCATCTTTGGCAGCTTCTCTTGCTTTTATTCTTAGTAATGGTCGGTGTACGTCAAAAAAAGGTAATAAAACTTGTGTATATTATATTTATTTATATTGTATATTTAAATAATTGTATTTTTTTCAGCTCCAAATAAATCATGTTCGGTACACGAATGGATAGGGGAGTTTCGAACAGAAACGGTGATGTTCAAAATGACATCAGTTTGCGGGCACGTTATGACCTTAGACTTTATTGGCAAATATAATAACTGGGATAAAGTTGATCCTGTGTGTGTTTTTAATCAATTTATTATGTCATATATATATATTGTCAATTGTATTATTTTTATAGACAATAGCAATCTTTCAGGTAGAATTATTCTCGTGTCCTACAGAAAAAAAGGAAGCCGCACCTAAACTCGCAATTCCATATTTTCTTGCCAAGCAAGGCGCTTATTGTGATTATTTAATATTATGGTTGGATTGCGACAAGGAAGGTGAAAATATTTGTTTCGAAGTAATCCATGCGATACAAAAAGTTAAAAAACTATCTCCAAATGTAATCCAATGATATTCTTAATATTTTGTTTCTTTTTTTATATTAAAAAATTGCTTTTCTTAAATTAATTACGTTCATCAATTTGATAGGACATTTGGCGTGCTAAATTTTCTGCAATTACTAACAAAGATATAAAAAATGCTTTTGCTAATCTCATTAAACCTAATGAGAATGAAGCTAAGAGCGTGGATGCACGCCAAGAACTCGATTTGCGGATCGGTTGTGCATTTACCAGATTTCAAACTAAATTCTTTCAGGTATAATTCTGATGCATTATTTATATGTTATTCTTAATATTATAATTATAATATCTTAATCTTAATAATATAATTCAAATTATCTGATACAGTTTGCAACTTATTTCAGGGAAAATATGGTGATTTAGATGTTTCGCTTATTTCCTATGGTCCTTGTCAAACACCGACTTTAGGATTTTGCGTACAAAGGCACGATGAAATTCAGACTTTTAAACCTGATCCATATTGGGTTCTTCAAGTATTGATTTTTGGAATCAGTTTTTTATAATAATATAGATACAAATATAATTTTAATGTGAATTTAAATATTTTTTAGCTTACAATTAAATCACCGGAAGGACAGGACATTCCTTTGACTTGGAGTCGTATAAGATCTTTTGATAAAGAAGTGGCTAACATGTTTTTAAATTATGTTAAAGAATATACCTACGCAACGTGAGTATTTTATAAATATATGACACATATAAAAAGTATAGTATATAAAAGAGAAAATATTTCTATATATGATATTCAGCGTAGTAAGTGTGCAAAGTACAGAAAAAACAAAACCACGTCCTATAGCTTTAAATACGATAGAATTGATGAGAGTAGCCAGTTCTGGTTTGGGAATGGGACCTCATCATGCTATGCAAATTGCTGAACGTTTATATACTCAAGGATATATCAGTTATCCTAGAACAGAAACTACGTCTTATCCTGAAAATTTTGACTTAGTGTAAGTACGATAAGAAAGTATATTAATTAATCCCTTGTACTATGAATTAAAATGTAAAGTTAAGTGTTTTATTCGTTCCTATATTTCATGCTTCTTATTTTTTATAATCCTATTATTCTTAGGGGAGTATTATTGAAACAACGGTATGATCCAGAATGGGGAGAGCAAGTGCAACAAATACTTGAAAGAGGAATTAACGAACCCAGAAAAGGTGTCGATGTTGGGGATCATCCACCTATCACTCCTATGAAATATGCTACAAGAAATGAACTAGATGGTGATGCATGGAGATTATACGACTATATAACTCGACATGTTATTGCAACTGTAAGTAAGAATTATTAAAACTGTAAAATATAATAGAATTTATTATATTTTTATATATTTATATATAAAATAAATTTGAAATATTAGGTGGCACGAGATTGCAAATATTTAAGCACAGTAATTAAATTTAAAGTAGGTATGGAAATATTTACTGCAACTGGTCGTACATTACTAGACCCTGGATATACTAGTATTCTTACTTGGCAATCGTTTGGAACCAACGATACGTTACCAAAGATTTCATTTGGAGAAAAAGTTGATATTCAAGAGGTTCATTATATTATCTATTAAATTCTTGTTTGATATTTTTTCATAATATGTTATAAAGAAAATGTTTTATTATATACAGGCCAAATTAGTTGAACTTTATACTCAACCACCAGATTATTTAACAGAAGCAGAATTAATATCTCTCATGGAAAAGCATGGTATCGGAACAGATGCTTCTATTCCAGTGCACATAAACAATATTTGTATGAGAAATTACGTTACTATTGCTCCCGGAAGAAAATTAGTACCTACTTCATTAGGTATAGTTTTAGTTCATGGATATCAAAAGGTATTTTTTAATATTATTTATGTTTATATAATTAAATTAATAGAATGTTTTATTATATTTGTATTTATAATCATTCATACATTCAGATAGATCCAGAATTAGTTTTACCGACTATGAGATCTGCAGTAGAAGAACAATTGAATTTAATAGCACAGGGTCGTGCAGATTTTCATGCCGTTTTACAACATACTGTTGAAATATTTAGACAAAAGTTTCATTATTTCGTTGAAAGTATCGAAGCCATGGATCAATTATTCGAAGTCTCTTTCTCTCCTCTTTCAGCTTCTGGCAAAGCACACTCAAGGTATAATATATAATTTTATTTGTTTAATTTAACTTTGGAATTTTTGTTATGTTATATTTATTTCATATAGATGTGGTAAGTGTCGACGTTATATGAAGTATATACAAACCAAACCATCGAGAATGCATTGCGCGCACTGCAACGAAACGTATAATCTACCTCAAAATGGAAATATTCGTATTTATAAAGAATTAAAGTGTCCACTGGATGACTTTGAATTATTGTCTTGGTCAACTGGTGCAAGAGGCAAAAGTTATACATTTTGTCCATATTGCTATAATAATCCACCATTCAGGTAAATGAATATAAAATATAAATTTTAATTCGGAAAATAATATACATATAAAATTTAAATATAATATTTAAAAATTTCAGAGATATGAAGAAAGGTATGAGTGGATGTAATTTATGTACACATCCGACATGTCCCCATGGTTTAAACTCTAACGGAATATCCAGTTGTTTGGAATGTGATACAGGAATTCTTGTTCTTGATCCTTCAGCAGCACCCAAATGGAAAGTTGGGTGTAATCGTTGTGATGTTATTATTCATTTATTTGAAAATGCTCACAAAATAACGGTAGATTCTGATGTATGCGATTGCGGGGCACAATTGCTTAATGTGGAATATAAACAAGTGATTATTAATTATTTATTTTTTAGAGAATAACATCTTGAACCTTGTTTATATAATTATTATATATTTTAGGATAAAAGTAAATTACCAGATGAAGCAACTGAAACTTCTGGGTGTATTTTCTGTACCCCGGCATTCAGAGCACTTGTTGAAAAACATAGGGCGGTAGCATCCAAACCAGTTGCAACTCATGGACGAGGGCATGCCAAAGGTCGTAGCCGTGGCAAACCGCGTCCTCCTAAGGATAAAATGGCTCAACTGGCAGCATATTTTGTTTAATAAAGTTTGAAAGTAATGTCTATCTATGTAAACATTATGAACTCCTTCCATATTGAATGAACATTACAAATGAATACATTGCCAATATGCTGCATATGTATTGCAGAAACAGTGATTAAATTTTCAAATCATTTTTGTGAACAATCAGTTTTTGGAAAAATTATTAAATAAAAGTCAAAAGAAAAATTTTATGCTAAATTTAAATAGTATAAGTATAACCTAAAACCATCTATATTAATATTTATTTACATAAATAATTTTTATATCAAAACGTGATAGAAAAACTAAAATTTATTATTTTTTTTTTTAAATTTGAAGTATTTTGAAATATGTAGTATTAAACTATTGAGGGTAGGGGTAAGAGTAACATCTCTGTATATAAGTGCCCGTCGAAATGCATTCAATCAGGGTGGCGCCACAGTAGCTACAGGGTAAATTTTAAAGGAAGCGCCAAATATTATTAGAGTAGGATTGAGAAATAAACAAGGAACACAAATTTGACCCATAACTGTTTTGTTATTCACATACTTTTTCATAAAATTAAATGATAAAAAATCAATAAATGTACTATTCATAGTTCACGAAATAAAATCACTCTAGCTACACGTTTTCTCATAATAATTCTTTAAGGTTATATTTACTACATTATTTTGTACTACGCAAGTAGTTGAAATTTTCAATAATTAACTACTTTAGTCGGCAATAATATTAAATTTTTTAACTCGGCATACTTCAATTTGTTTACAATTGCTACTTTCATACCATATCTTCTATCTTCACCAGCGCCATTCTGGAAGGTTTTTGAACTATTATTTATGGAAAACGCTGGACACTTTTTCACATTTTCTCCTATAAGAGATGTTACTCTTTACCTTTACCCTCCATATATTAAACACATTGCATATGTATCGATGCATGGCTGTTAGAGGCAGTGCCAGATCGCGGAACATTTCTCAGTGCTGTCAGATCGTGGGTAAATCTTACCCTCTCCCTGTGCCACTGGGATTGCACACAATGAAAGTTTTCCATGTCCGTGTGTTTGGGATGT